GTCACATGGACTTTATTATCTTCAACCTTCTCCACATGTTGGCACGGTTATGGAGTCTCCTTCTCTCCTTCATGCTCGGCTTGGTCACCCCGGTCTGCGCAAATTACGAGCAACTTGTTCCCAGCTTATCCTAGTTGTCCAATTTGGTGTGTGAGTCCTATCAGTTAGGCAAACATAGTCGTACTTCCTTTCCTCGTAGTGTTTCCCAGCGTGCTTCATCCCCCTTTGCCTTAGTTCACTCTGACATTTGGGGACCCAGTCGTGTTAAGTCTAATTTAGGTTTTCAATATTTTGTTACTTTTATTGATGATTTCTCTCGTTGTACTTGGTTATTTTTAATGAAAAATCGTTCTGAGTTGTTTTCTATATTCCAAAACTTTTATCATGAAATTAAAAATCAATTTGGTGTCTCTATTCAATCTTTTCGAAGTGATAATGGCCGTGAATATCTTTCAAACTCGTTTAAACAATTTATGGCTTCTCATGGCATTCTTCATCAAACTTCCTGTGCTTATACCCCTCAACAAAATGAGGTGGCTGAGCGCAAGAATAGACACCTTATTGAAACAACCCGTACTCTTTTAATTCATGGTGAGGTTCCTCAACATTTTTGGGGTGATGTCTGTTCTTATCGCTCGTTATCTTATTAATCGTATGCCCTCTTCGGTTTTAGATAACAAAATTCCCCATTCTATTTTATTTCCTCATGACACTCTCCATCCTTTACCTCCGAAGGTTTTTGGGTCTACCTGTTTTGTCCACAATTTTGATCCTGGTCATGATAAGTTATCTCCTCGATCACACAAATGTGTTTTCTTAGGATTTACTCGATCCGAAAAAGGATACAAGTGTTTTTCTCCTTCTCTTAATCGCTATTTTGTGTCTGCAGATGTCACCTTCAATGAGTTTTCCTTTTACTTTAAGGACCCTTCCCTACCTGCCGAGTCTCCATCTGCTACGGTTTCCATTCCTGTTCTCATTGATCCTTATGTTGAGGACCATCCACCATTAGCCCCTCCTCCTCCACCACCCCTTCGGGTTTATAGTCGCGAGACCTCGCCCACAACCAGACGCCACATGACTCACTCCCGAGTGCCAAATACTCGCCTCCTCCGGTTCCGTCCACGAGTCCGACCTTCCTATTGCTCTTCGTAAAGGTACGCGTTCTACTCGTAATCCTTCTCCACATTATACTCGCTTTAAGTTATCATCGAATTTCTTCACCATTTTATACCTGTCTCTCGTCTATTTCCTCTGTGTCTATTCCTAAATCGTCTCTCGAAGCCTTAGCCCACCCTGGTTGGCGTCGAGGCCATGCTAGATGAACTCGGTGCTCTTCGGACTAGTGGAACCCGGACGCTTGTCCCATTACCATCTCGGAAAATCTGTTGTTGGTTGCAGGTGGGTCTTCGCTATCAAGGTTGGTCCTGATGGTACTATTGATCGCCTCAAAGCTCGCCTTGTAGCCAAAGGCTATACCCAAATTTTTGGGTTGGATTATGGTGATACTTTCTCTCCGAGTGGCAAAGATGGCTTCGTTCGTTTATTCATTGCCATGACTCGCTATTCAACAATGGTCTCTTTATCAACTCGGATGTCAAAAATGCTTTCTTGAATGGCGATTTGCAAGAAGAGATTTATATGGAGCAACCTCCCGGATTTGTTGCTCGGGGGAGTCTTCCGGATGGGTATGTCGTCTTCGCAAATCTTTATATGGCCTAAAACAGTCTCCTAGGGCCTGGTTTGGAAAGTTTAGCAGCGTTGTTCAACAATTTGGCATGACTAGAAGTGAGGCGAGACCACTCGGCCTTTTACCGTCACTCGAATGCTTGGATGTATCTATTTGATAGTGTATGTCGATGACATTGTTCTTACGAGTAGTGACCATCATGGCATCTCTCGGATGAAACAACACCTTTGCCACCATTTTCAAACCAAAGATCTTAGCAAACTCAGATATTTCTTGGGTATTGAGGTAGCACAATCTACCGATGGCATTGTTATATCTCAAAGAAAGTATGCATTGGATATTTTGGAGGAAACTGGGTTGATGAATTCAAAGCTCGTTGACACACCCATGGATCCTAATACCAAACTCTTGCCAAATCGGGGGAGCCAATGTCGGATCTCGAACAAGTATAAAAGATTAGTTGGAAAATTAAATTATCTTACGGTTACTCGCCTCGACATTTCCTTTGCAGTCGGTGTGGTGAGTCAATTCCTCAATTCTCCTTGTCAAGATCATTGGAATGCGGTCATCCGTATATTGAAGTACATCAAAAAGTCTCCTGGAAAAGGTTTGGTGTATGACTCTCATAATCATACAAGAGTTGTCTCGCTATTCGGATGCCGATTAGGCAGGATCTCCCTCCGATAGAAGATCTACATCTCGGGTATTGTGTTTTCATTGGTGGTAACTTGATCTCATGGAAAAGTAAGAAACAAAGTGTTGTGGCAAGATCTAGTGCGAGGCGAGTATAGAGCTATGGCCTCGGCTACTCGTGAACTTATTTGGCTCAAGCAATTGCTTAAAGAGCTACAATTTGGAGATGTCACTCAAATGACACTAGTGTGTGACAATCAAGTCGCTCTCCATATAAGCTCTAATCCTGTCTTTCATGAGAGGACTAAACACATTGAGATTGACTCGCCATTTTATTCGGGAAAAGATTATGTCCGGAGACATCAAGACCGAGTTCGTTAACTCATGTGATCAATTAGCGAGATATTTTCACTAAGTCTTTACGGGGACCTAGGATGGATTATCTTTGTACCAAGCTAGGCACATACGATTTGTATGCTCCAGCTTGAGGGGGAGTGTTAGATATGATTAGATATTAGTTGATATTGTTTGATATTGTTGAGATATTGTTAGATATTGTTAATCACAATATCAAATAATATCTTTTTATTTACTCTATTTGTATTTTGTTACTCTTTTGAGGAGTACCTTTCTTTATTATAAATACACTGCCCTATGTGTGGTAAATACATAAGGGAAATTAACCCTATATTCAACACTTACCAAGGGATTGGGCTGCCACAATTTTGAGAAGATTGTATCCAAGCTGGGAATGGAAAACATCTATTCACCAGCTTGAGGGGGAGTGTGAGAAATCAAATAGTATTTTAGGAAAGAATAAATCAGGAAATTTGTATATTTCCTTGTAATCTGTACAGATTTGAATAATTAGGAACAATCCCATAAATCAAGGGATCCTAGCATAAAATAGAGTTATTATATTTCCTAAAATAGCTTAGGTCTCCCGTATATATCTTATATCATCTCTTTGTATTGATATAATAAAAATCATATTTCGGATAATCTAATTTTCCAGTAATATATATATATATATATATATATATATATGAGATCATAGAGTGGAGTGATACATGCCACTAAATTATAAATCTTCTTTTAACTCTCTTTATTCTCTTAACTATAATGATAAAATATTTTTCAAGAGAGCAGTTAGCACACAAGCCACCATCAATACCATGTTTAAGAAAGGTGTGAGAGAAGAAGCATGCTAAGCAATTTCTAGGTTTTTCTAAACAATGCTATATTTTCAATGTGGCTAAGAGGGAAGAATTTGGTGTTATGTTTGATTTGGTTTCAAGGCATGGTCTTGGTTTTAAACCTCCATCATATTATGAGCTTATAGTCAAATATTTGAAGGAAGAAGTGAAAAATACATCACTTGCTTTACAAGCACATAGGGATGAATGGAAGAAAACAAGATGTAAAATTATGTTTGATGGTTGGACTGGCAAGAAAAGAAGAACAATAATAAACTTTCTAGTAAATAGTCAAAAGGGAACTTTGTTTTTGAAGTCCATAAATGACTCTACAATATCTAAATCAACTGAAAAAGTTTTCAAATGATGGATAACATTGTTGAAAAGGTGGAAAAGATAATGTTGTTCAAGTTGTGATAGATAATGCAACAAACTATAAAGTTGCTAATCAAATGTTGATGGCAAAGAGGAAAACCTATTTTGGACACCCTGTGCAGTACAATGTGTTGACTTAATGTTGAACGATTATGAGAAGAAGATCTCAATTCATGAGAATTCCAAAAGGTAAAAAAAAATACAACTTTTATCTATTTTAGAACATTAATTTCTCTATTACATTTCACAAAAGGAAGAGACTTGGTGAGACCAGGTATTACTCATCTAGCCATACTTGACATTAGGATGCCTTCATGAGAACAAGAGAGATTTAATTATAATGTTTACTAGTAATGAATGGAAATATAGTAGGTTTACAAAAACAAAGAGGATGAAAAAATAGTTGAAGATGTGATTTTGGATAAGGATTTTTGAAAGAATATCATAATTTGTGTAAAGGGTGCATTGCCTCTAATTGTAGTGCTTCGATTAGTTGACTCGAATAAAAAACCAGTCATGGGGTTCATTTATGAAGCAACAAATCAAGCTAAGAAGAAGATACAAAATGCTATAAGGAAAAAGTACTATCTAAATATCTATTTATTTAGTGGTTTTGAAAAGAAAAAACTGACTCTAATATATTTTGGAATAGTTATTTGCCCTTGTGAAACATCATTGATGAAAGGTGGGACAAGCAACTTCAGAGCCCTTTGCATGTTGCAGGCTATTTGCTTAACCCTAAAATACATTGTCGTCTTGGATTTAAAGCTGATTTGGAAGTGAAATGAGGTCTAATGGAATGTCTAACAAAGATGGTGAAGTGAAGGATGAGGATTAGCAAACTTTAATTGATGTTCAAATTGACGATTTCAAAAATCTGGCTAAATATTTTGGTTGTCCTTGGCCACTAGGTCAATTAATTTAAAGACTCCAACAAATTGGTGGAGAGTCTTATGGTGATGAGCATCAAAAACTCCGAAAGAAACGACAACAAATTGCTTTGAGTTGATTTTTGAAAGAAACGATTATTTCGTAGGGTTGATTGAGGGTGCAAATTTTTGACCGAGCAAGATTCGTCTTGACTTAGCCAAATTTTCAAATCAGACCTAGGGCATGCTTGCAAAGGAAAGATCCAATTCTCCTTCACCCAAAGTGATCCTCATCTTTTTGTTGCAGTCATTATTGTAAATTGGTAGCTTACATACAGGTGGTATTAACTCATTATATTATGTAAAAAGGCCTTCTACTCAAGGTAATTACCAGCTGGGCAGTGTTCGTTAATGCCAGCGGTTGTTCCTGTTAACAGTAACAGCTCTGAATGTGCTAAAACTCCTGAGCTCTTACTTCAGAGGTTTCTAAATTCAATAACAAAATTTTCAGTGTATGGTTTTTCAGTTTTCTCTCAAAGCTCTAAATCAAAGAATTCTGTATAAATACACATGTAATACAATCGCAATGCCAGTAGAAAACAAAATCAAACAGAAGAATCTTAACATGGTTTTAAATTACAGTGAGCCACCACAATTGCAATCAGAATATTGCAGTTTGCAACCGTAATTTAAAACCACATATCCTAAAAACGTCAAAATTTCAGCTTCAAAAGAAAATTGATAGCAATCACATTCCCATGAAACAGAACAGTGCTTACAAGTAGCTGATAATACTCAGCCTCCCTTAACAGCTCTGAGTACTGACATTCCTCGAGAGTGGGCACCACGCCATCCCTTAACCAATTGAGAATGTGCCGAAAGTGTTTACCATCCCTATCAACAAACACAGACCCCTGCATCCGTCGCTTTTTATCAAATCAATCCATAACTAAATATAACTAAAATCAGATACATGATTAGACAAACACATGGAATTTTAATTTTAACAAAGATAGAGCATGTTTGGGGATGTTTCTTCTTGAATTTCAACTGCTTTTCTATGAAAAAAAAAAAAAAGTTGTGTTTCTAAAATAAACTGAATATTTGGAACATCCGCTGAAATTTAGTAAAAATCTTCTTTTCCAAAAAAATAAGTTGTTCTTTTATGAATCCGAAAATTAGTAGCTTATGATTATTTTCTAACAGACATTTTCAGTTTCATACATAAAAATAATATTTTCTTTAGTAAAATTTGATTTTTTGTTGCATCTAACCGAACTAATAATACTAAAATTACATTTCAGCATCCAAAAAATACTTGTTCTGATAATATTCAGTAGTAACTACAATCGATTGCACGTATAATCGATATTAACATAATCTAATTTTCCCCGTTATCCCGATCACACCACACCCAAAAGGTAAAATGTCTTGGATCTTTAAATTATACTCAAAATTGATTTCAGTCACTACATAATAAAATAAGATACATTCAATCTCTGATCCTATATCTCATTTTAACTTCACGAGAGGCAAAACCCACCGCATTTCGGCCCGACGACCAAAATCATCAATTTTAAAACGCAGGGACTAAAACCAATCTTAACTAAGAGAACCTAAAACACAGTTTGACTTAACAATAACAACAAATGCAATTGCCTTATCAGAATCTTGGCACAGCGTGTGGCGACCACTGAACATAGCGGAAAGCATTGAATCGGGCTCGCGCTGAGTGAGAGTGTCGATGGTGGTACAGAATTTCTTGCCTCCTGGGAATAAAATTGACGAAGAAAATGAAGGGAAACGGAGGAGGGAGGGAACGGCATCGTGTTGAGAGGGAAGGGGAAAGAGGGGTTACCGATGTTGAGGCGGACGACGGAGGATAAATCGGATTGGAAATCCTTCATTGTTGCGAAGTGAAGCGCAGAGAGAAAGAGAGCGAAGCGCACCGCAGCGGAAGCAGACGCTGCTGCCACTGTACTGTGTTTGTTATTGGGATGCAAAGGGACGTGAGGTGATGGGTTGGTTGGTTGAGGTTGGGTGAGGGAAGAAAGAAAAAAAAAAAAATCTCGATATTTAATGTGTTTATGACCAACACTCAGTAATAGGAAAGTGCCCGAGGAGAGCCGTTGCTAGTTTATAAATGAAATTAAATTGTGTAATTATTTTTTTATCATTAATATTATACTATTGTTTCCTTAGTTTTTTTAATTGTTTTTCATTTTAAAATATAATTGTATCTTTAATACTTTAATTATTACTTTTTACATACTCTTTCAAACTTATAACTTCTAATTATGTTATAAATTATAATTTTATTTTTTCATATTATTATAATCAGATATATTTTTAAAAAATGTTCTCACATGTTCTATTATTATTATTATTATTAACCAGATATATTTTTAAAAAATGTTCTCACATCTTCTAATATTATTATTATTATTATTAAATACTTATTATTAATAAGTAAATGGAATGGGATTGTATAAGTACCAGTTTTTTATTTTACTCTTCATCTTATATATATAATTGTATTTTTACTTATTTTTATTATAAATTATAATTTTATCTTTAATACTCTAGTAACTATTTTTATAACCATTGTTTTTGAATTATAAAATCAAAATAATTTTTAATTATAATTTTATTTTTAATATTTTTAATTATTTTTGTAAAGTTTTTTAAATATGAAAATAATAAAAATATTAATATAATAATAAAAAAATGGTGTGTTCAGAATTTTGTTATCATGTTATTTTATTTTAATGAGTTGAAATTATATATTTATATTAATTTTAATTTTATATAACTTTAAAATGAAATATATTATTATAATTAGTATTATAATTATTATTATAATTATAATTATTATTATTATTATTTATGTACAGTACATGTGTCGATTGTATACTCACATAAATGAAGATGTATAAGAAAGCTATTGATTCACAACTTAGTTGTCCTCGATGATATTAAATATAATGTATTATTAACACTATAAATCAACATGATTTAGTTTATTGGATTAATAGCATATCAAAATGGATAAGGACCCAATCCCCATAAGGTCAATTAAAATATGATAAATTGGTAATGATTTTATGCTATGTATTGTTGATATTCTTCAACATTTATTACATCAATTATTTTTTACTTACAGACACAGTCATTAAATGTTTAAGAAAACCATAACAGTGAGGCAATTTTGCTTGTCGAACGAGGCAGGGGCATGAGAATTTCAAGAAGAGTTGCATCGAGGAGGTAAACAAGCTTATATTGGAAACACTCGTATTTACACTAATACTAATAGAAAAGCGTATTTAACATCGGTTAATAGTTGTAAAAGAGTGGTATATAACATTGGTTTACAGTACATTCTAGTGAATCAAAAGGGGTGAAAAGAGGTGGGACATACTATATGGGTTGTGACCAAAACTATCATATTAAAAGATATTTTGTTTAGTTGCATGGTTAGTTATCATTTCAATTTGTAAATTCAAATTTAAGAAAGAACAGTCACATAGTTCATATACAATATAATTTATTTATTCTGTTATCTAGGAAAAGTACACAAATATTAATAATTTTGTTCATAATTATCTTATGAAAATTACATTAATCTACTACTATTCCTAATAATTAAAAAATACTTAGTGCATTCTTATCTAATTTCTTCAATGGTGACATAACTCAATTATTCCTCTTTTACAAAAATCTACAATAAATATATTATAGGTGTTATATTTAAAATCTTATAATACAAGTAAATAATTTAAAGTAATTATTACTTGGTCTCATGAATCCATAATAGACACACGAGTTATGGTCCACATCCAATGCAAGACGTAGTATCTATACTCATATCTTCCTTGTTTCTTATTACACTAATATGTCAACTATTAAAATTTAATTATTTAAAAAACTATGAAACATGTAATGAATAATTATAACATAGAATTATATACCTTAGGAAAAATCCATGTAGATTATGCAATGATTAAGTGGAATTACAATCTAAGACATTACACACAATCATAGCACTATATAAAATGAAATATTAGTAATTAATAATTTATAATACTTTGTTAAAATACAAAAGAGGTAATTAATGATACCTTTGTTCTAAAATTTTCAAGGTTGCGGTTAACTTTTTATGTAGTAAACAAAACCACACAATAGTATTGTTCATCGGAATTAATACCATCAATTGCTAATGAAACCTAAATAAGAGATTGATTAGTAATAATATATTGTTATATTAAATACGTAACAAATATATATTGTACTTACATATTAATATATGGAGTCATATGCTCTTTCGGATGCCTTAAATATGCCATTGGATATAGGTTTGACATTCCATTTTTCTATTTTCAGACTTTTGTATTGCTTGAGGCTCAAAGAAGCCATATAAATTAGCATTCTCCATATTCACAATTAATTGATTGACATACCTATATTGTTAAATAAACATAAAATAATGTATCATTTCATATTAAACAAGTGGAATGAAATTTAGAGTTAGAATATACGTACATCATCCATAATTGTATGACGACAATGTTCAACATTTGGTTACCCTATATTATTTCAAATGTATCCCGCATGGTTATGTACAAAGGTACATTATTATTATCCCTACCAAAAGGTGTTGCATCCCACGGTATCACATGTGGAGCTTGATATAAACTTTGTGAAACTCCAATCAACTCCTCCAGTGCATTAGAATGTTGTTAAGGCCTAATATCAAGTGTCACGATTTGCTTTCGCATCATAATATCCTACTTAACACCATGACAAACACAATATACATAAGACATATATTCATAAAATTAAACTTTAATTACATACCTTATTTTTCTTAGAGATGGGTTGAATTAGATATGTAGGTCATGCAATGAATGTATGAAGCATTTGTCCCACTAATTGAACCTTATCTATGGGCATAGAGACTATAGCAACAACATCTTTGATATTTTCAACCACTACTCTTTTATAACCTACATCCAATGTCATTGAGTGTAATGTGGACCCTCCATACACTCTCCCAATTGTTAGACAAATGGCATCTAGAGGAGGGGTGAATAGATGCACAAATTAAAATAGATGTCAAATTAAAAATTTATTTTTGAGTCAATAATTTGTTAAAGCGGAAGCAATAATATAATCAGGAAAAGAGAAAGAGATAAGAGAAAGAGAAGAGCACACAGAGATTTATACTGGTTCGAGTATAGTCAACCCTACATCCAGTTCTCAGTCAACTCTTAACACAAGAGTGACTCCCCATTCACTATCTTTCAAATTCAGTTTACAAATTACAATCAACTCAGCAGAAGAACCAGTAAAAAGTAAACTAATTAAAAAGACAATCACCTCCTTAGAAACTCACTAAGGATGAACACCTCCCTAGAATCCCACTAGGGATGAACACCTCCTCTGAACAAATCAAAGGATGAAAAACACCTCCTTAGAATCCCACTAAGGATGAACCCCTCCCTAGAATCACACTAGGGATGAAAAACACCTCCTTTTCCACCAATGCAAAAAGGATGAAGGTAATAAAAATAAGAACAGACACACCTGGGTAATGGAGACAACAAATTGTAGAAGCCTGTAGAATGTCAATCTCTAAGAACAAGTGTGATTGATAATGAAAGCACAGAAGGCAGTAGAGAAGAGGGTTTTCTCAAAAGGTGTAAAATATCTCTGTTGTCTTGCTCAAAATTCTTTTCTCAAAACTGATTGAATGTAAATTGTATTTTCGAATTCTGTAATTGTGTGTTTCTGATTTTTCATCAAAACTTAATTAAATAGAAAAATAGCATCAGAAAATGGCCGTTGGACATTAATAATATCAAAGAGAAAATCAGGATGTATTAAAAAACATTTATTCTTTAAAACGGATATATTTTTTAAATTTTAATTTCCATAATTGATTATATTACCAGTATAATTAATTATGATAGAGAAAATCATTTTTCCATTTCTGGTGCATCATAATTAATTATGACAGTGAAAAATATCATGTTATGAATTTTATCACACTTGTGCTTTGGAGGCTTATGCATAATTTTACTTCATCAACTTGTACCTCCATATCCAGTATTCTAAGACTCTATCTAGTCTTCAGGAATCATCTTGGACTTGCTTGAATCATCATCTTTATCACCTACGTCATAAATTCAGCTTGTCCTTAAATGTAGTTGACTTGAAATGGTGTTGACTTGAATGTAGTTGACTTGAATCATCATCAAAATCATCTCTTGGGAATGCAGGAACATTTCCATCAATCTCCCCCTTGTTGCTTTCACCAATAGCCACGAGGTGAGGGGGATCTCCATCCACAAACAATTTACACCGATAATATATTTCAGTGTCAGTCTCCTTAGATACATCCACATTATCAACAACATTACTACCTTTTATATTAGCATGAGCATGAGTAGGAGGTACATTCTCTTAAGGTACTTGATTTTGTTATGAGATACCCATGGATTCCATTTGTTCTTCAAACTCACGCCTCCATTCCTTTACAAGTGTGATTCTTAATTATGTCTCTATTTGTGGTGTCAATCTCTTGGCTTTTACTTATTCCATCGCCTCTTGACTTACAAGTCCATCATAACTGCTAGTGTGAGGACGTAGTCCAAAATACCATCAGACACTCACACCAAATCCTGCAGTACACACACGACTAGGGTGTTTGGAGTGCTAATAGCAATGGTCAAAAGATCTTGATGCCCATGAGAAACAAAAGTAACCTAAGAAATTTTCCCTACTAACATGTTTTGTAAAAAAAATATATTATCAAAGTTAGTGACAATGTCATTTAAAAATTTATATCTTATAAAAAATATCTTGTTTTTTTTTTTTGCATGAACTTGCAATTCGATACACGATCTCTCTCTAGATGTCTTAGATCTCATTTGGTTAGATGATTTAGTGCGAGTCATCTTCCACTTCTCATGTCGAGTAGGAGGGGATGGAAGAGACACAACTTCTCGTTGGAGGAGGATTCATTTTCCCTCTTGGCCTTCTCTAACATAATCTTCTTCTCTAAAAAGTCATAACCCCCCATGACAATCTATGAGGAGTGTCGCCGCCGTCCATTTCGACGTCTAGGGACATCTCAAACGTTTATGCGAGCGGTCGCGAAAAGATAGTTTAGACTCGCGTTTATTTAAAAATGTGTTCATTGCTCCCGAGGTGCTCAACAACTAAATTATCCTCTAATAAAAGCAAGGTTTTCGCAAAAAGGTTCTTATGGAGTCGCCACCAATGTTTTGACCATAAACATTAGAAAAGGATAAAAAGACGTTGATTTTTAAGAAAAAACCAAACTTGGTCATTATAACTAGAGTTAGGTAAGGGAGTTAGTTACGCGTGGGGAAGGTGTTAGCACCCCCACGACGCCCCTTTTGGGTTCCCTATGACGGATTAATTCATAAAGTAAAGATTAAGAGAAATTACACTATTACCCTATTTATTGTACAATATTTTAAAAATGGCTATCTACATGATTTTATTTTCTATTGCATACATAAAGCAATAAATAAAACAATAAAAGAGAAGAGAAGTGAAAAGAACCTCCGTAGCAAGCTTTTTATTGCAAATCTTTAACTGTGAGGATGCGTTTTGGCAATCCCCCGCACTACAAAGACTCTCCTCCCCGGATACAAGACTGACTCTACCAAAATTTTAAGAAGAATCGAATGCTGGAAGAATCTTCCTTAACCGATTGTTACCTTTTTAGGCAATCGGAGAGTTCATTCGAAAGAGGGAGAGAAGACAAGTGTCTGGAGTGTGAAAAAACGCTCAAATGAGCCCCTATTTATAGTTTTTTTGGCCTGGCAGCTCGGGATGGCCGTCTGGGGTGCAGAAAATAGGGATGGTCGTCTGTAGAGGCCGGGAAGGCCGTCTGGGATCTGGGACGGCCGTCTGGCATGTGGGACGGTCGTCTGGCATGTGGGATGGCAGTCTGAACTAACTGGGACGACCATCTCGACTTCTGGGACGACTATCTCGACTGTTTTGGCCAGATTTTGTGTTCTGGGACTCCGGGGAATCTTTCCTTTCTTTATTCGGAAGTCGATTGATGCCGATAGATGTCCACCGAAGCTTTATCTTTGGATAGAAAGTCTTCTTAGCCTTTATTGAGCGGCCGAGAAAAATAGGGGTCTACAGTTGCCCCCCCCCCCCCTTCACCTGCCTGACTAACTGTTGGCCTAATGTGCCCACAAAGTTAGTTGGTAGGTGAAGGAGTTAACCATTTTTGCCCGGTCATCCTTCGGATGCTCCTTTGCTGAAGTTTGCTGCTCCTACGGATGATAAATATTTTTGATAGGTACCAACCCCTATCTAGTTTGAGCCTTCTTTTATAAGGCTCTGGTGAGTACTTACTCTCACCAGGTACGAGTCTGCATTTTGCTAAACTCTTGTGGGTACTTACCCCCACCATGTATGAATCCGCTTTTGCTAGATTCTAATGAGTACCTACCCTCATCGGGTACGAACCCTATTCTATAAGGCTCTTGTGGGTACCTACCCCCACTTGGTACGAACCCTGTTCTGCAAGGCTCTGGTGAGTACCTACCCTCACCCGGTACGAGTCCACATTTTGCTAAACTCTTGTGGGTACCTACCCCCACCTGGTATGAACCGCGTTCTGCAAGGCTCCTGTGGGTACTTACTTCCAAGGTGCTCAACAACTGAACTATCCTCTAATAAAAGCAAGTTTTTCGCAACCCGTTCTACAAGGTTCTAGTGAGTACCTACCCCCACCTGGTACGAACCCTGTTCTGCAAGGCTCTTGTGGGTACCTACCCCCACCTGGTACGAACCCTATTCTATAAGGCTCTTGTGGGTACCTACCCCCACCTGGTACGAATCTGCATTTTGCTAGATTCTGATGAGTACCTACCCTCATCCGGTATGAACCTTATTTTATAAGGCTCTGGTGGGTACCTACCCCCACCTGGTATGAACCCCATTTTGCAAGGCTCTTATGGGTACCTACCCCCACCTGGTACGAACCCCGTTTTGCAAGGCTCTGGCGGGTACCTACCCCCACCTGGTACGAACCCCGTTCTGCAAGGCTCTGGTGGGTACCTACCCCCACCTGGTACGAACCCCATTCTGCAAGGTTCTTGTGGGTACCTACCCCCACCTGGTATGAATCTGCGTTTGCTAAACTCTTAACGAGCCCCATTATGCAAGGCTATTGTGGGTACCTACCCCCACCTGGTACGAACCCCGTTCTGCAAGGCTCTTGTGGGTACCTACCCCCACCTGGTACGAACCCCGTTCTGCAAGGCTCTTGTGGGTACCTACCCCCACCTGGTACGAACCCCGTTCTGCAAGGCTCTTGTGGGTACCTACCCCCACCTGGTACGAACCCCGTTCTGCAAGGCTCTTGTGGGTACCTACCCCCACCTGGTACGAACCCCGTTGTGCAAGACTCTTGTGGGTACCTACCCCCACCTGGTACGAACCCCGTTCTGCAAGGCTCTTGTGGGTACCTACCCCCACCTGGTATGAACCCCGTTCTGCAAGGCTCTTGTGGGTACCTACCCCCACCTGGTACGAATCCCGTTATGCAAGGCTCTTGTGGGTACCTACCCCCACCTGGTACGAACCTCATTCTACAAGGCTCTGGTGGGTACCTACCCCCACCTGGTACGAACCCCGTTCTGCAAGGCTCTTGTGGGTACCTACCCCCACCTGGTATGAATCTGCATAGATTTTGATGAGCACCTACCCTCATCCGGTATGAATCCCGTTCTGTAAGGCTCTTGTGGGTACCTACCCCCACCTGGTACGAACCCCGTTCTGCAAGGCTCTTATGGGTACCTACCCCCACCTGGTACGAACCCCGTTCTGCAAGGCTCTTGTGGGTACCTACCCCCACCTGGTACGAACCCCGTTCTACAAGGCTCTTCTGGGTACCTACCGCCACCTGGTACGAACCCCGTTCTGCAAGGCTCTTGTGGGTACCTACCCCCACCTGGTACGAACCCCGTTCTGCAAGGCTCTTGCGGGTACCTACCCCGACCTGGTACGAACCCCGTTCTGCAAGGCTCTCAAGATTCTCTTTTTGGTAGTCAATCCTATGGTTGATGAGTATAAACCCTCATCTGGTTTTGGAGATGTGTTGGCAGCTTATTGTTTCTGATCATGCGCCCATTCCATGGGGAGTGATTGATTTTTTCTTTTTGGCTTTTCTGTTCTAGCCATCCGGCTTTGCCGGGGATTTTTGTTTTTGGCTTTTCTATTTAGCCATCCGGTCTTGCCGGGGATTTCTTTGTTTTTGGCTTTTCTGTTTAGTCATCCGGTCTTACTGGGGATTCTTTGTTTTTGGCTTTTCTGTTTAGCCATCCGGTCTTGCCGGGGATTCTTTGTTTGTTGCCTCTTGTCGCCGTCGTCAAAACGAGGGCGGTCGGAGCGACGCGATGGTTTCGACTTTTCAATTTTTGCGTTTTTATTGGTATGGTTACAACGCCTTTAGGCTGTCCGATAACCGGGCTAATCCAAGAGCTAGTTTTGAAGGGTTCTCTGGAGTCGTCACCGATGTTTTTATCGGAAACATCGAAAAAGGGAGTTTAAAAGGCATTGGTTTTCGAAAAACCAACTTTGGTCATTAGAACCAGAGTTGGGTAAGGGAGTTAGTTACGCGTAAAGGAAGTGTTAGTTCCTTTACGACGCCCCTTTCGGGTTCCCTATGATAGGTCAGCTGTTTAAAAATAATTAAACCGGTGAAAATACACTTTTACCCTTTTATTGTGCGGAATTTAAAATTATGACTACATGGCCCTAGTTTCTATTGCATAATTAAAATTAAAGTGGTAATAGTAGAGAGAGAGGATAGGAACCTCCGAAGCGAGCTTTTTATTAATTCTTTGCAAAAATAGGGTGCTTTTTGGCAGCCCTTCACTGTTTTAAAGCGTCGAAAACCTCTCGAAACGCTCAAAAACACTCTTAGAAACGCTCAGAAAACTCCGGAAATGCTTCAGAGGGGTTCTAGAGAGAGAGTTTGAAGAAAAGTCTAGAGAGAAGGTAGAAGAACTGTTGGAAATGAAGGGAATGAAGCCCCTATTTATAAGGATTCGCGCCTGTCAGGTCTAGACAGGTCGTCTCGTCTGACAAGGTCGAGACGGCTGTCTTGCCAATCGAGACGGCCGTCTCACCTTGCGGGAATGGCGAGACGGTCGTCTCGCCAAACGAGACGGCGGTCTCGACCCCAAAAGGCGAAAATCATTATTTTTGAGCAAAAAATCCCTCCTATCCTAGTATGGGGCCTAATAGTCTCTCCTAGTGGCTTCTTAGGCTTCATCCATCTTCGAATAGAAGGTCTTCTGGTCTTTATTAAGAGACCGGGCAAGATTTGGGGTCTACAGCTGCCCCCCCTTTACCCGACTAGTCGACTGCTGGTCTGCTGTGCTAAGGAGACCGACTGGAGG